GCCCAAAAATATCGCCGATGACATACGGGATAGCCCGGTATTTGCTGTTTAGCTATAGTTCTGTCTCTTCACCTCATGTTTCGTTCCCTCTCAGCTCGATATCTTTACCACCTCCTTCGAGAGACCAATTAAATCGATATGCTAACCAATTTATCCAGATTTTCCAGCACTCTCAATTTAACTTTAGTTTTTCAAAGCTTACTTAACCCCTGAAAGTTTGAACGGTATTCAGGGCATTTCTAAGTGAGTAAGCACAAATTATTGATCAACGCTGAGTATTTTTGTGAGATCGGGAAGCTTGCATCGGATTTCAACCATGGCTGATCCCTCCGTGGTCCTGAAGTAAACACTCGGTTCCATGGATTGGTCATTGGTAGTCCGCGCCAGTGCTTCTTGTTTACCGTAGTGATCTATGCGTTGGTGGAGAGGTGTGGCCAAATCGACCATGAGCAAATATCGACTGGCTTCTTTTCCACGGAAAATGGTGAAATCTCTTCGGAATTGAAAACAACAATCGATGATTGGCAAAAATCACCATTTTGCGGGTTATATGCTCAGCTTTACATTCACAGGGTTCTATCAAGGTAAACAGAGCCGATCCGAGAAAAAAATCTACGATTATTACCTGGCGTGACTGCAATCGACCATTGGTGATGGCTCTGCTTTGTTCCAGAACCCTGCTGGCCTTATTTTTGTTATCGATTAGCTTAGATGTGGACATTTGCGGTTAAGCGATTGTGAACGATCTTGGTCCCACATGACCTCTATGATTGGATTAGGCAGGAAGTGGACTAACGAGGGTAGTTTTTGCCTAGTGCTAAGGATTGCTTAAAATAAAACGCCCAACGAAAGTCATCGGCACTTCCGTGGGAGTCCTTCGAGGAGGGCTCCCTGGAGCGACGACTGTGAGATGATTTTGCAAGGTGAAAAATGTTTTTGATTTTCTTCTCGGCTGAAATTGAAGCCGACCGTTTGGCCTACGAAATTCAGGTGGTAAAAGAAAGTTGAGTTTCTGTTCAGGCAGTGAACTTTGGGAGAATGGATATATTGCCCCGTTTCACCGCAGTGCCAGACTGGAAGTGGCCTCAGGCTGTCCTATTTCGTACCAAAACCCTCCTGGTCTTAATCTACTATCGATAGCAGCTGGAGTTCCAGAGCTGATCGATTGTGAACACCTTTGTTTGCCTCATGGCTATTTATAGTTTAGATTTGCATTTAAGTTGGGCAGTGAGGCGATGAGCGATTTTCCTCCAACTAAATCATTTTTGCGGACCATTTCTCGTGGAGTACTATTTATAATAATTGCAAAATTGAGTTGCCAGGATTGGGAGTCTTAATAGAAATGTCCCCAAAACAAAATTGCCTGTAGCAGCCTCTGTGTGTGTAGTGGGAAAATTCATTGCATGCAGAGCAGGGTTGCAATCTCGCAAGCAGGCCGACAAATTCGTATTGAAAACTGCTCAGCATACTTTTGATATTTATACGGTATCTTGCTCTCGTATTGATTTATCACTTATAGAATTCGTGCTGACTTTTTCGAAGGACTCAATGATTTATACTCGGTGATGTACAGGTATCGTACTTCGAAACGTTTCAAACCACTTGGTTCGCAATCTGACCGTCACTCACGCCATCTTGACTATCAGGTAATACGATAATTGACTCACCGTAATATCTAGCTTTTTATATAAGAAATAAGTGAGTACTGTGAAGCCATTGGCAGTGGTGCTTTCCGTGATCAACTATCACCACACTGGTGATGACCGATGAAGTGGACTGTCGCCGCCCTCCTGCCATTTAACTAACACTGAATAATATGTCATTATAATTTATAGAAAGGTGTCAAGGGGCTTCAACTGCGGAGGCATTTGAACGGATCATTGTGTACACATATATTAGGCCCTGTGCTTCTGCACGAGTCTTATACTGATGACCTGGTAAAAGACGGTCCAAAGATGAATCGGTTTGTGAAGAATATAAAGCTGCGAACTGGGGAGGCCTTAAACGGCGTTTTCAGCTCCTGGCCTCCACGAATCCATCGATGAACCGTGAGTGATGCAGTTAGCTGACAGCTTTCCAAAAGTACCAGTCATCCAATTGAGTGTCCTTCTTTTGAATGGCTATTGGATGTATGGCTTAAACTCGAGCAGCAACGAGAAACACCTTCCCTTCCCTTGTGGTTCTTGGGTGGATTTTCCGGTTGGAACTTGCCGAAACCATCTTATCCTTTCATCACACTTGACCAGTTTGAAATTATAAAAACATGAACTCATATATTGGCTGGTCACAGCACATTATTGCGCAGATGTCGGGCTTTCAAAAGCGAACTATGTTCGCGAATGGAATTCACATGCATGGCGCATTCCAAAGAAATCTCAGCATCAATGCCAGCCTCTTTACTCTCCATCGTCTGTATTCGCCTTAAAAAGCGCCTAAAAAGCAAACAATGCTCGCTGTTACCGGTGCAGCTGACATCTGCTGTTTTTCTGTACGCAGTGGATTTCGTTGCTGAAGGGTGTTTGGTTTGCGTTTTGGGCGGCGGTTGGATGAGACATCGCCACAGGGACGGACAAACGGTTGAAGTGGAGAGAGCCTTGTCCACTGGAGGGGTGGTAGGCACAAGGGATCAACGAGATTTTGAAGCTGAAAGCACGGAACCATGAAATTGCTCAGTTTTTTGGCAGGATTCAAACAGATGGGTTTCCCAGGGATTCCTCAACTGATTGTGGCCTTGAATTCGCTTTGAAACGGAGCTCGTACAGGAGCTAGAGGCGCTGTTATTACCCGCCTTTTCGGTGCGATCGATTTTAGCCCTGTTCGAGACCTTCTCTACTTCCTGTGGTGCCTGGATGAATCACTATTTTGGGGTGTGGCAAACATCTATAGTGAACCTTCAACATGGGCAAGCTTTACGTAAGTCACACATCAACACTCATATTCCTCGTTCTAGAGGAAATCGAATGCATGGCTTACCCAAAAAAGAAAGATTTGTATTTGTCGATGTGGTGTTTTGCGAATGCTTTCCATGGAGTTTTCCCTGGCTGCGCCGTTCTAAAATCTTCCATTCAGTGCCCGTTTTGATTTTTTTCTTTATTCCTTTTATCTGGACAGTGCGAGAGTAAAAGCTTGTTGATTGTTTTGTTTCTTCATTCGCTTTATTTTCGACTAGCACAAGTTCTGGTTTTTGTCGGCGCACCAAGGTGCACTCTATAGATACTGATGTAAATTAAATAAAAATAAATAAATAAATAGTCTGGTTAAAGGCAGTGACTACGATGGCTGGGGGCGGTGCGGTTCGATCACGTCATTTCACGTCATTTGTAGACCTGGAATACTTAGCGCGCTGGGCAGGGTCAACCCTACGTTGGTACAAGTAACAACGGGGGGTCGTACTTGGTTTAGCTTGGAGGGGGGTCGTACCCACTTTAGTCGCTTCGAAATCACGTGTGGGATTGAGGTGAAACTAAGATTTCGTGGGTAGTAGGCTGGGCGAGTGGAGGGCGCGCAGGATAAAAATTTGCCGTTTCAGCGGGCGTATATACCCCCCTAGAAAAGGAAGTAGTGGGAGTATAGGTAAAAGAAATGGGTTGAAATGGTGGAAATAGAAGGAAATTTTCGAGATATTTACCGTTCAGAGTGACTATATACCACCCCTCCGCCATTTTTAGGGGGTCGTGGAGGGGGGGCGTAAAATTTTTTCTGAAAGTAACAACGATAGGATCGACCCCGGCTGGGGGTGTGGTGGGGCCTCTCCGCCAGTGACGTTCAACAACGTCATCAAAACCACACCGCCCTCCAGGCATTGTGATCACTGTCTTTAAGTAAGATACAAGTAGTTATTCCTAATAGTCATCTGCTATATTTCAGCTATAATCAACTTCAAACACTGCCAGAAAATGTCTTTATGAACTCATTCCTGCCACGACCAAACGATAGACGAGTAATCTACTGCTGCGGTATGTCATTTCAGTGCTCAACTTTAACTCATGGTACAACTCAGTCCACAGCTTCTTTCTTCTTTTTCTAGCTCTGGAAGAACAGCGACAAGCTCCTTCGGGCTAACCGCTTCAGTAGAGCTCCCTTTTGAAACGGTCCATCTTTAGACCGATGTCAGACTTTGCGAATCGAGCGAACCGCGGTCTTGTCGCGGTCAGCGAATTGCTCTATGGCTGGTACCGCAACGCGACCGCGGACGCTAGCGAATCGCTCGATTCGTAAAGTCTGACATCGGCCTTATTCGATATTTGGCGAGAGCATCGCAAAATCTTATTCAACTTTGAGACGTGGTCTTATCGTTAGATTGTTGAACCATTCCCGAATTTTTTACTGATGTGTATGTACAAAAACACGAGTATAGCTTTCTCGCATGCTGTATTGGTGCAAAGTCAGGGCTTTAGGTTGCGCGGATTATTTGTAGTGACCACCAAGAAAAGATGCACATTTCAGACAAAGATTTCTCCGGCTTATTTGAATGATTTCAGGAAATCCGTGGTTCTGTAACAATGATCTTCTATGGTTCCGACAGCTACTTCGTGATAATCTCGACATCGACATTGAAAAACCCGGCTGTCTTGCCGTGTGTGCTGCATCGCCCACCGGTTGTCCAGCTGAGGGCACTCCACTGCGGTATGTTTTCAAAATTCCTAGGGCTATTCGTTTTCAAAATTCCTAGGATTATTCAGTTCCTTCTTTTGAAGTCAGAGTCAGCTTTCGTGGATATTGAACCATCTTTACATCTATATCCATTGAGACTTCACCCCTTTTATTTGGTTCTTTGGTCAGGAAAACGCTGCCGTACCACGTTTTTCTTTGCTCTACGTAGCGCTTGGTTATGCCTTGAACGCGGTCGCGATGTGACATGACACAGCTAAGTTTAGAACTGAGTAGATGGCAATATAGCGTACCGGCAACAAATGCTTTATCAAGCCTTATGATAAAAGCGCCGGAGACCTGACAGCGCACGCTGCGATTTGTCAGCGCGCAGAAGTCAACAAATTAAGTCATAGTTTGAGGTACTTCATTTGATAGCTGCCGTGCGCATTTTACTTTGCCGTGCTGACTCTAAAAAGCAGGTTCCACTAGCCAGTGTATTCGGTTCATACAATTAAAGCGTAAAAGTCCTGCGATGAACATCACTTTACACATGACGTTTTTTCAGAGCAGTCGACTTTTGTTTGGAAAACGAAGAACCGCAGCCACTCACCGGAAGAGCGCTGTCATTGGTCGGTTGGATTATACTAGGTGAGATCGATCGATTTATTGATTGGGTCGTAACATTTTTTCTCCAAGTTACCTCGTTCAACTAATCGATTGAACCAGTAGTTCAGTTGAAACAAAAAGTCACTACGGTTTTTTACTACCTTTTACGACCTTTACACCTTATCGAATTTTTTGAAGACCTCTTTTCATAACTGTTACCTGCCAGATTCGCTCAAAGCTGTGAGCAAGCTGTAAAGCATCTGTGGGGGGGGGGGCTTTGAAGCCACTGTCTCCCCCTATTGATGTTGTTGTAATGGGAAGTACTCGGGCAATAAGAGCGCTTTATGGTTCCACTGAATCAATTCACGCGCTCGGGCAGTAAATAGTACTAATTTTTGATGAAGAAAAGTGGGTTGGAATTCAAGAGACCTCGAACACTAAAAATCGTAAGCGCCATAAAATAGGAATGACTTTAATTCGATGTCAGTGGTTTTGCTGTTTTATCATCGTAGTGTCTACTCGTTCCCTCACGCTTGCCTCAACAAGGGAGTGATGCGCCCACGTCATTCCCGCTTCCTATTGAAGATGTGTTTGCTTTTGTGTGACATTTTTTCTACACATTATTTTGTAGAATCTCATACCGTAGGCGCATTTCCAAGATCAGGGCGGTGAATAAATATGTGGTCTAGAAACAATAAAATAGATAACAAATTCTCGTTCAGCGATTATCATGACGATTCTTCTGATATCGATCTGTCTGCTGGCGATGGTTCGATACGGTATGAGTCACCGACGAAAAAAACAAAAGGACCAAGAGCTTGAAGATGACGCTCGAATGATGTCTTCCGCAGGTGAGTGGCTGGAATGATCGACGACCAACACGCAACATCCAAAAATGGCCCGGTGATCACTGACCACCTTTTTGAGTGCCCCCACTAGGGCTACGTCGAACATTGGACGAAGAGCTAAGCTAGCCAGTCGTCGACTACAGCTTGTCCATCTATTCAGGTGGTGGTGTCGTGTTTTACCACAAGGACCCTCGGAACCGGGTAGCGATGCGTCGTGAATCCGGGTTTATCCACGGCCGTAGTATCATACGAGAAAAACCACGACTCACTGTCAACAAACTACAAGTGGAAGCCGACGCGAAAGAAAAAAAAACACCAAAGTCAAGTGAAAACGTGCCGCCAACGCCGGATTTCCTCTAGTTCTACTTTTTTTTATTGGGAAACTAGTTTTTGAGGAGTGCCACTGCACTGGGTGGGGGTGGGGGAGGGAAGAAGCTCAGGAGCTCCTGGGTTGTAGAATTAGTAGGATGCGGGAGCTGGCAGTTCCATTCCTGCTCTTCTTTCTTTTGACTTCGGTTGGTGTATATTCCAAATCGCTGGAGCATTTCTGTACAGGGAAAATTACCCTGGTAGATGGATAAAAACTACAGTAATCAAGACAGTCAGAACGGGTGACTTTTAACTTTTCCCAGATACTTTTCCTTGAGAATCGGGTGAAATGACAAATAAAAGGGCAGTTTCGTCAACTAGGAACTGCGAACCCAAGGAGCCCCTTTGATGGTGTTGCGGGGGAAACTACAAGCATGACACAATGTAGCACTTTTCACAGTTTGGCCCTATGTTATGGCCTTACAATGTAAGTAGGGCCAAACTGTAAAAAGTGCTACATTGCGTGGACGCTCGGGGGTTTGAATCGTGCCAAGAACAACCTCACGTCTCCTTTTCTCCAGTGTCGTATAGGATGGTGTCAGGAGTAGGGTCAGTACCCCTAATTTTTACCACATCCGGCCCTCGAAACCTCTTGGTTGGCCAACTACGCTTCCAACGTTCTGAAGGGCAGATACGCTAGATATATGATCAATCGCATCGATTAGAATATTGATCCAAGCATTTTCCAAGTCGTTTTTGGGCGCTATCGCAACATATGGCCGTCTCTAGAATTAAACCTAAGACGGGGCACGAACAGACCCTGAGAAAAATGGAAATTGCGCGTCGCATCATCTGGAGTCTTCTCTCGCACGAGAAGGCTGATCTTCTTCAAGCAAACCATTTTTGACGAGGTTCTGAATTGTGTAGCTCGCACATATCCCGTGTCGGCCATTAGCACCACTTTCATTATCAAAGGTGAAAACGGAATGAAAACGTCTTATAGAAGCTGACGCAGAATTTTAATCACCAGGTTTTGCTCCGCCCGCAATTGTGCGCATCACAGGGTAGGGAGGAACCACGGAATAGCAGCAAGATGTACTCCATTAAGCACCTCACTATTGAATGTATTATACCTTCTTATACCCTTCCTCTCCGGCGCCTGACAGCATCATTTTCCCCATCCTTCTCCTCTCTCTTCCTCATCTTTCTCTTCCCCGTCGCCTCCGTCCGCTGCCCTTTGTTGACCCTCTCCCCCCCCCCTCCTCCCCCGCTCATCCGGCTGCCACGGCAGCACCATGTAGAATGAGACTGAGTGTGCTCGATCGGTGTTTATATAGCCGCTGTGGGTGTTATCATGATCATGACATCAACATCACGAAGTGTTGCCCTTCGTACTCCCTGGTTTTGTGAGCGGTCGGTCCGGACGGACAGAACGACACCAAAATTCTGGTTTATATAATGAAGTGATTACGGTGAACATTTTCAGCATCGATCTATGGAGGTGGTGGTATATCAGCGATAGACCGTCCGTACTCAACCCTGCCACCAGTGAACCTCGATCTACCACCTGCACATACGCTCGACGATCGGCCAAACAACTATTTTTACTGAATAGCATCTACTTGTCACAAGTGATGGATTCAGAATTGCTCACAGGCGTGTTCTGACGCGCATGCAAAACCCAGCTGTCTTCCCATACACGGGGCTTTCACGCAAAGAACATCATCACACTTTGTTTGTATCATAGAGCGGTGCACTTTATCTAATTTTTTATATTTTGTTCATAAATTGTTGATATTGATTTGATTTATTGATTTGTGCGTTTCATGATTGATTCAATGTGTGGCTGACGAGTGAATGTTGGTAAAGGACGGGTTGGGGTCAGGGTGACTAACTTGAGTAAACAGTGCGTTGGTTGGGTTAGGTTCAAGTTGAGTAATGTTCAGCAACGGATTGCTAAAACGTCACTCTGTAAAAAAAAAGTAGAAGGGAAAAGGGTTCGGACCCTGTAAAAAAAGTAGAAGGGAAAAGGTTCGGACCCCTTTCACCATGTAAAGTGGTCTGCTCTGAATTTTGAAGCCTCATTTCTCTTCACCATGATTTTTTCTTAACCCTTGTCGCGTCATTCCATAGAAGGAATGGGAGCAGGGCGCTATCGCAAGATAAAGGGGCATTGTAATGGCAGCGCATTTAAAGGCAAGTAAAGCACTCTTTTTTAAGGCAGTGAGCTTCAGGCGGGGAGGAGAGAATACGGGGTGCTGAAGGAAAGTTCGTTTTTCTCCCAGTTCCTGCTCCCTCCTACGCTGAATTCGAGTAGATGTCCCCTTATCTTGCGATAGCGCCAGGATCAGCGCATTCAAGATACATTGCGCTTTTTTCCTCACCGACCAGCTTTATCCTTTCTGGTTTCAGTTACCAACAGCAGACTAGTAGTCGGAAACGACAGAGCGAAAGCGAACTTCTAGGGCAAGGTGTCGTTGATCCTCTTCTTCCGCTGCTCCACCCGTTACCTTGCATTGGGTTACGTCATCGGAGTCCGGCTGGAGCTTGTAACCTACCGCTTACCCAATCACCAGTTTCTGAAGCGCTTTGGGGATCACGAAGTCAGACGGGCGCAGTTGGCTGAGCATACTCTTCACTCGAACAAAAAAGAAACGTTACTCAAACAGAAGTGGGCGTGACTCGTCGTAGCTCAAACAACCCGCATTCATCCTTCAAATCGCTAAAGTGCACGTTCTAGTGCTCTTACTGGCTGGTTGGTTTAACAGGATCAAAAAGCCCTTTGTGTATGCGTGCGTGACGTGAGTGGGTGGTATGAGTGTGAGGCAAAAACAGCTCTGAGCAACAGGTCCACATTTCCGTTCTCAGATGTGGGAGGGTTCACGTACGACAAACGTTGGCCGTAAAACCAGTTCTTCGCTGTGAGCAAGAACATGTAATCTGTGGGGTCTCATAGAATAATTCCTCGTAGGCGCGCGCCCGAGCGATTGCCGAAAAGCGTTGGCAAACGAAGCGTCGGTGGTCGCTTGGTCCGGTCCGGATTTTGCCTTCTCAACCGGATGATGACTAGACAAACGCCACACAAACCCGGAAAGAAACTGAGCGTCGCAGGAATGCGAGGAGGTTTTTGAGGGCCTGAAACAGAGCATGAATTTGAGGACCGGAAGAAGTAAGCAGATTTTCTGCTGATTGCGGGTTTGAGCTCGCAACGCTTCCGTTATGTTTGTAGTGGGGACAAAAGATAATACATTCCATACTATGGCCCCACCCTATTTATTTCTTAAAGTGCCCTAAATTCTTTAAAATGCTTGCAAAAGTCTTGGTCATCGCTTTGATATGAACCTCATCGACACTCCATTTAACGAAAAGCAATGAGGGATCACCGGCGTCGGTGGTCCCTCCTCTGAATCTGTCCACTGCCCGTTTAGGCCACCTTCCTGAACCAACAA